AGACCCTTCTTCAGAAAGGGTCTTCTGAAGAAAGGTCTAGGCCTGAAACATCAGCCTTCCTGCTCCTCTGATGCTGCTTGGCCTGCTGTGTTCATCCAGCTCTGCACCTTGTTATCTCAGCCTTGGATTATCCCCCGGTTCCAGCCATTTCTTGGTATCATAATGAGTGAATTGAATTAGTTGATCCTGGAGACCTCAGAAAGAGGCTGAGATGGATCATCCACCTGACACTTCTGGCTGAAGATGAATGCAAGCCGCTCCCCTTTCATTAGGAATGAGGATATTTATGTAGCTTCCTTCTCCTGTTAGTTCTTTCATTGCCCATCACCATCAACTACATCTCGAGGCAGGACAGCAGCATTTAATACCTAAACATTGGTTGTGGGACTGCATATTTCTGTTTCTGGCATGCTGTTTCTGATTTTGGGAATCTGTGCTGCAGATTCACCTGGCTGACAGCTCATTTTTACATACACCTGTTGCTGCTCCTGGTATTCAACATGAAGGTGAACTGATTCATCAGCTGAGGGTGTGGCAATGGGGTCAGGAGAGGGGATGATGGGATTCATTGCAAGAGGTTTTCTTGCCCATGCCCTGCAGCAATTGCATTAAATTCCTGCATTGGCTGAGGTTACATCAAGGACTCACTTCAACCTCTTCCCTCAACTGAGGTGTGGTGACCTTCAGTTAAAGCACCACCCAGTCACCTGTCTCTGATGAGGGAACAACCTTATGATCCTCTGGGACTGTGGCAACTTTATCTTACCTTTACCTTTAGTCAACACCTTCCAAATCTGCAACTACTGTGACTTAGAGTGACAAGAGCAGCAAATACGTGGAAACACCACCGCCTGAAAGTTTCCTTCCAAGCCACACACCGTCCTGACTTAGAACTATATGACTGTTTCTTCACTATTGCTGGATCAAAATCCTGGAATTCCCTCCCTTTTGGCACTGTGGATGTGCTTACTACAGATTACTGCAATGATTCAGGAAGACAAGTCACCACCACTTTCTCAAAAGGCATTATGGGTGGGAAGTAAATCTTCGCCTAGCCAGCTATGTGCATAACCTGTTAATGAATAAAACAAAGGTTATGACAAATCTTAGCCGAAGAAGTTTGAGACATATTTTTCATTAGTTCACAAGTTTTTAAAAATTTGTTATGCTTTTTGTCCTGTACAGTCCCATTCTTTAAGTGAAAATAGTGATGGTGCATCACAAAATAGAGGTGATTAACAATTCACAGGACATCTCCTCCCCATCATAAGCTGATGACCAATTTGTGCATTACAGAATTTTATGGCTCCACTGGGAGTGGAATAGCAGGTAGAAGCTCTACAAAAAAATGATGGAATTGCAGGAGCAACCCGAACCCTTGCCCTCCCAACAGTGATGGTACAGTCGCCAACCCTCTTGCATGGTTCACAACACTGCCTTCCCAGACTTGGTCATCCACTTACCTCGTTGGCCTTGGCAAAAGACATTCATTTGCATTGTGATTCAGTTCTTTCATTGCCCATTATTGGGGTACAGCCTTCAGCCACAACATTGGCCACTTCTGACATTGGCATTGCTAGGAGTAGAGAGCTTCTGGCTATCTGGTGGTTTGGCAGAGCTGAGTCGTGCTCCGGATGGACGTGGAGTTCGATGTCCGTAAAAACAGCTTGAGGCGATATGACTAAGTAGAATTTGGCTAAGGCCCCATTTCTCAGCTGCATAAATTCTGGCCACCGTTAGTTATCTGCAAAATCCTGGCTACAATCTTTTGATTTTATTTTACGTCTTACTATTTTGTTTCTAACACATCATCTCTTGTGCATTAATTGCGATTGCTATTGTGCCATATTGTATGACCATATTAATGCAAGACTTTTTGTTGCTGTTCTTTTACCTAGAACAGGCTAGCTTGCAGTTGAAGTTCATTTGTAGTAAATGAGCTATTGAGTGTTTCAGGATTTGGAGACAAAATTTGAAAGGACAATGAATGATTATAATTTGAGCTTAAATTAAGTTCTTCCCTCAAAACAGATCCTGAAATTTTAATCTGGGTATTTGAGGAGTTGAATCCATTATGTTACAAGAGAAGCTGTGACAGAGCTATACCATCTTCTTTAGGATGATCTACAGCTAATCTCAGCTCTGAACATGCCCACTACATTAAGCCTTTCTGCCACCTTCCAAGATTGGATAAATACTTGAAGTGGAAAAATTTTGCACAACTGTGAGAAAAGAGTAAATGAGTGGATGTTTGAAGAAGTGGAGAGATAAAGAGTTACAACTCTAAAGGGGTGCAGGAGCAGAGAGATCTGGATGAATATTTGTATAGATCATTACAGGTGGCAGGACCAGTTAACAAAGCATACAACATCCAGGCTTAATTAATGGGGAATAGGGCACAAGAGCAAAAAGGTTATACTGAACTTAAATGGGACACTGGTTTGGAATCCACTGAAGCATTGTGTCCAGTTCTCGATGAAAGAAAGGATGTGAAGGTATTTGAGAGACTGCAGAAAAGGTCTATGAAAATGGCTCCAGAGGTGCAGAATTTGATTTACAATGATAGATTGGAGAAGGTGGCACTGTCCTCCTTGGAGAATAAATGGTTTTGAGGAAATTGAGCAGAAGTACTCACAATCATGAGGGGTCTTGACAGAGTAAATATGGAGAAAATGTTTCCGATCATGGAAGGATTGAGAACGAGGAGGCACAGATTTAAAAAGAATCAAAAGTGATATGAGGAAAGACTTTTTCATACAGTGAATTGTTGGAATGAAATGCTCTGAGAATGCGGGTTTAATCAAGGCATTCAAAAGGGAATTAGGTGGTTACTTGAAAAGGAACACTATTAACAGTTATGGGAGAAGCAGAAGGATACTGAGAGAGATGCTCATTTGGAGTGTTAACACTTGCATGATGGCCCAAATGGTCCCCTTCTGCACTGCAATAATTGTGCGTTTCTGTGAATTCTTTCAAAGAGCCAGCACAGACACATGAGCTGAATAGTTTCCTTCTGTACAGTATCATTTTATGCTTTTATGATGCAATAAAGTCCTTGCATGGGGTTTAAGCATTCATGCAGTTATGTAGTACCTTTTAAAACAGGAAAATATTCTATCCACAATCTTCCATTGGCAAATGAATCAAACATGTGGCAGGCACTATATTTGGAAAGGCCAACAGATTCCCTGAAAGGTACTATTTACTGAACAGGACAAAGAATACCTAAAATATTCCCTTCATTCCCAATATTAAAAATCAGTGCTTGCCATCATTGATTTACTCATATTTCACAATACGTATGCTTAATAAATTTAAGATTTTCCAATGAAGCACCGCCTTGGAGTACAGCAAGGGTTTTGTTTCATAGTATTTTTATACTGAATACAGCAGCTTGTCTCTGCATGGTACTCTATTGCATAGTCTGCCAGCTTGCAAAAAAATAACTGGCAAAATTGATTTGAAGCTTGCTGTAGCAATTATTTGGTCTCATTGCTTTAATGCTTTCAGAGCAAATGTTTGCACTGTTATTCAATAGCACAGAATTGCCACTCATGATTCATAACCAGTTGCTCTGTATTCGTCCATTTAAATCATGATGTCTTCATCGTGATTTTGACTAATGTATTTGAATTGAATGCTGCAAGTTTTCTGAACATGGAAAAAGAGTCTATTATTGCTTTCTGCACATATTGATTACTATTTCTGCCTATTGTGATTTGCACTGAAATTAGTAAAGAAAGAATACTATGGACCACGTTATCTAATTCTTATTTACCTTCTAGTCCAACTACAGAAAATGCCTGGGCATTTGCACAGCCAAATGCAATACAAGCAATAGGAGTTATGGTATTTGGTAAGTCTTAAATATTTGCCATAGATCCATGTATATTGATTCTGTTATTTTTTTCCATAATTTCTATACTTTGCCAGTGAAAGTGTTTGCATTTGAAACATCCAGATTAGATTTTTCTAGACCTATGAGGATACAGAAATTCATCATCCCATACATTACTTGTCTAAAATAGTAAATAAGTTTCTGACTGCTGCTCCACCACTGAATGGAAGGTGCTTCATTGTGAAAGAGCTTCTCCATGATCCAGGAACATAGAAAAAAATATCTGGGAAAGAGGATGTGAGAGCATATAAGAGAGAAGGCAAGAGAAGGAAGGAGTAGCTTAAAGTTGTCAACTGTGTCCAAAGTCCCAATATTTAAGCACTTTCTATGATGATAATATTCACAGATGTATGGACAAGAACAACTCATCCATCAAAAAGAGTGGTTCAGGTATTTTGAAGACTGGTGTCTCATGCAGTCCATACCGAATCACCTACACCATTAAGAAACACATTTAATTGACCCCTCTATTTCAGACATTAGGGTGGCATGGTGGCTCAGTGGTTAGCACTGCTGCTTCACAGCACCAGGGACCCAGTTCAATTCCAGCCTTGGGTGACTGTCTGTGTGGAGTTTGCACATTCTCCCTGTGTCTGCGTTGGTTTCCTCCAGGTGCTCTGGTTTCCTCCCACAGTCCAAAGATGTGCAGGCTAGGTGGATTGGCCATGAAAAATTGCCCATAGTGTTGAGGGATGTTTAGATTAGGTGGGTTATTGGGGGATGGGTCTGGGTGGGATGCTCTGAGGGTCAGTGTGGACTTGTTGGGCTGAAGGGCCTGTTTCCACACTGTAGGGCCTGTTTCCACACTGTAGGGCTTCTACGAATACATAATTTCAATGCACATCCTGAAATATTTAAGCATGATGCATTGTCAGTCAAATAAAAAATCTGTCACTTAACCTGGACCTCAAAGCATCATCAGATTGGAACAACTGGAGACGAAAATAACAGACTATTGATTAATTTCAAAAGTTAAAATAATTATTTTCCTTAAATAGTTGGAGGATATAGTCCACCAGGGTCATAAGTAAGCACAGAAAGAAACTGTACAGTTCCTTGTTAGATACAGCAAGGAGAATAGAAATTCTGGTTAGGTTTTGTAACCCTCCCCCCACTCCACTCCCCAGCCCTTTTCCCATTGGACATTAATGAGGTAGTTGAACTTTTGTGCAATCCAGATACTTTCATTGTTACAACTGTCTAATTACCAGGTTTATCAAATTCAATTTTCTAAAGTTATTATGGTCAGACCAAAACATACAGGACAGAATTTTCCATTTCCATTAGGGTTTAAACAGCAAGTTATGAATCTCACTAAGGAGCAGTGACTATCTTATTTCCGTGCATTTTCATTTCCTTAATGAAGCTCACAATGATCCTCTCCTTCCCTGAGAAACTAGATGGTGCCAATGTCTAACATGAAAGTCAAACTTGGCAACAGCTTTTCTGAACACTCAGACAACTCTGTCTTCTCTGTAACATCCTTCCATGCTCCATGGACTGCATCTTCCTCCATCCTTCATCCATGCAAGTGTGAATCATCAAACCACCAACCTTAGCAAATCATGATGGATGGTTTCTGGCCAATTCATATGTTCACTTTAGAACACTTTGACTTGCTGTACTTTTGCAAGTCTCCTTTGGCTACACAGGGAACATCTTATAGTTCTTAGCTTACTTTCTTAGTGTTTACTCACTTTACACTTAGTTAGATTTAATACTTCCCCTAATTTTTCATGGTCTGACTATGTTTCCTGTTTTATTTTTATGCCAAACTGGGATGAATAACTTTTGAAGTTTATCCATTGCTATCTACCATCATCCCTTTAAATAATGATCCCTAATTTACCATAGCTAGCTTGTGCCTCATACCATTAGAATTTCCTTTATTAAATTCAGGACCCTAGTCTCAGAAACAACTACGTCACTCTCCATCTTAATGAAGAACTCAATCCAATTATGGTCACTCACCCTTAAGGCCACATGCACAACCAGACTGTTAATTATTTCCATCCTCATTACATAATACCTAGTTAATTCTAGTTGGTTCCTCAATGTATTGATTCCTAAAATGATCCCACGTGCACTCAAAGAATTCCTCCTCTACAGTTTTGCTACTGATTTGATGTGCCCAATCTATACGGAAATTGAAGTTACCCATAATTTACAGCTGTACCTTTACTACAGATATTTCTAATTTCTGTTTTTATGCCTGCCTCATATTACTTCAGAAGTTTGGCAGTTTCTATAGAACAGGTACTATCGTTTCCTGCCCCTTGGTGTTTCTAAGCTCAACCCACACAGATTCCATTTCACCATATCCTTCTTTACAACTGCATTAATTTCCTTTTTAATCAACAGTGCTATCCCACCTCCTTTTCCTTTTTGCCTGTCCTTTCTAAAAACGGAAAACCACTGGCGATTCAGTTCACATTCCTGGTCATGCTGCAGCCACGTCTATGTTTTATCCAATATATTATACCTGTTTAGGTCTATTTGCACAGCTAATTTATCCATTTATGTGAATGCTAGGTGCATTAATGCACAAGGCATTACGGCTTGTCATTTTAACATTCTTTATCCCATTTACTGTGGCCCTATTTGATTATAGTCCTTGAATTCTCTGCCTATCACCTTTAAACCAAAAGACCATAAGTTTTGGAGCAGAATTAAGCTATTTAGCCATCAAGTCTGCTCCACCATTCAATCATGGTTGATATGTTTCTCAAACTCATTCTCTTGCCTTCTCCCTGTAACCCTTGATCCTCTTACTAATCAAGAACTGATCTACCCTTGACTTAAATACACTCAATGATTTGGCCTCCCCAGCCCTCTGTTCCACAAATTAACTACCCTCTGACAAAGAAATTCCTCCTCATCTCAGTTCTAAGGGTTGTCCTTTCACTCTGAGGCTGTGCCTCAGGTCCTAGTCTCTTTGACTAGTGGAAACATCTCCATGTTCACTCTATCCAGGCCTTTCAGTATGCTGTAAGTTCCAATCAGATTCTCCCCTCATCCTTCTAAATTCCACCGAGTACAGACTAAGAGTCCTCAACCACTTCTCATACAACAGCTCTTCATCCCTGGGATCATTCTCGTAAACCTCCTCTTGATCACCTCCAACACCAACACATCCTTCCTTAGATACGGGGTTCAAATCCAAGTGTGGTCTGACCACAGCCTTATACAGCCTCAGCAGTACATCTCTGGTATTGTATTCTAGCCTTCTTGAAATGAATATTAACATAGCATTTGCATTCCTAACTGCCAACAGAACCTGCATGTTAACCCTAAGAGAATCAGGAAGTAGAGTTGCGAAGTCCCTTTGTGCTTCAGATTTCTGCCTTTTCTCCCATTTAGAAAATAGTTAACACCCCTATTCTTCCACCCAAAGTGCATAATCTCACACTTACCCAGATTATTTACCATATTCCACTTACTTGCCCACACTCCTAGCCTGTTCAAGTCCTTCTGCAGCCTCCCCACTTCTTCACCACGACCTATCCATCCACCTATCTCTGTGTCATCTGCAAATTTAGCAACAATGCCGTCAATTCCTTTGTCCAGATCATTAATGTATAACATGAAAAGTTGTGGTTCCAACACGGACCCCTGTGGAACTCCACTCGCTGGCTTCCATCCTGAAAAAGATTCCTTTGTCCCTAGCCTCTGTCTTCTGCCAGTCAGCCAATCTTTTATCCATGGCAGAACCTTGCCCTTAACACCATGGGCTCTTCTCTTATATAGCAGGCTCGTGTGTGGCACCTTGTCAAAGGCCTTCTGGAAATCCAAACAGATCATGCCCACTGGCTCTCCTTTGTCTAACTTGTTCATCACCTCTTCAAAAGAATTCTAACAGATTTGTCAGGCACAACCTCTCCTTGTCAAAGCCCTGCTGACTCTATCCTATTTTACCATGCCCTTTCAAGTACTCAGCAATCTCATCCTTAATAATAGACTGAAAATCTTACCAACAACTGAGGTCAGGCTAACCGGCCTATAGTTTCCTGTCTCTGCCTCCCTTTCTTCTTAAGCAAGGGTCTTGCATTTGCCATTTTTCAGTCATATGAGTCTCTCCCTGACTCCAGTGATTCCTAAAAGATCACCACTGATGCCTCCACAATCTCCTCAGCTATATCTCCAGAACTCTGCAGCGCAGTCCATCTGGTCTGGGTGATATATTCAACTGTAGACCTCTCAGCTTCCCCAGCACCTTCTCCTTAGTGTTGGCTACTGTACTCTCCTCTGACTCTGTTAAAGTTCTGGTATGCTGTTGTTGTCTTCCATTGTGAACATTGATGCAAAGTATCCAATCAGTTCTATTTGTAGCAAGAACAGGCAGGCACATCGGTACCTAAATGGAATTACATGATGAAAGGGGGAGGTGCAAAGAAACCTGGGTATCCTTATGCACCAGTTATTAAATGTAAGCATGCAGGTGCAGCAGGTGGTGAAGAAGACAAATGGTATGTTAGCCTTCATAGTGAGAGAGTTTGAGTACAGGAGCAAGGATGTATTGTGGAAATTAAACAGGACATTGGTAAGACTATACCTGGAGTAGCGTGTGCAGTTTTGGTCTCCCTATCTAAGGAAAGATGTGCTGGCTATTGAGAGAGTGCAAAGAACGTTTACCAGACTGATTTTTGGGATGGCAGTCCTGACATATGGGGAGAGACTGGATTAGTTAGAACTATATTCACTGGCATGAGAAACCTATAAATTCTAAGAGAACCAGACAGCACAGATGCAGGAAGGATGTTCTTGAAGTCCAGGGACTCCAAAACTAGGGGTCATAGTCTAAGGATTAAGGGATAGACCTTTTAGGATAGGTGAGTTGGAATTTCTTCACCAGACAGTGATGGCCTGTAGGATTCTTGGCTGCAGGAAATTCTTAAGGCCAAAATATTGAAGATTTTCAAGAAAGATTTAGATATTGTTTTGGGGGCTAAAGGGCTCAAAGGATATGGAGAAAGAGGAAGAGGGTACTGAGGTGAAGGATCAGCAACGATCATATTGAATGGTGGAGCAGGCTGGAATGGCCCACTCCTACTCGTATATTTTATGTTTCTGTAGATGATGCTGGATCACTGTTGTGTGAGGGGCATTTGCCATCTTGCAGTGTCTTAAGGTGTGTGTATGGGGTTTAAATATGGCACCAGCCGCGAGCACTTCAGTTGCACAAATCCACAATCTGGACACCAAAGAAACCGGTTGCATGAGTAATGAGATGGGGAACAGAAGATTGTGTGTTAAGAAAATCCACATGGACTATGGTAATCTGGTTACCATTAATCCTACTGAAAAAGAATTACCAAAAACTTGGAAAATATATCGCATACAATTTGGGTTGATTGTCTAGTGGCACAACCACAAGTTCACCATATGATTATCTTTGGTAGGGATGTTACAGCGAAGTTTCAAAGTTGCATTTGAGAAACTTGCTTTTGTTGATATTCCACAAGATATTAAATAACAATGCAAGTTTCCATGTCAGTGCAAAATTGTATTTGATTCATTGGACCTAAGTGCAATCTTAATGATTCAAGCAGACCACCATATATATCTTGTTGAGTTCTTGAAAATCATTATCATGCAACAAATATTTTCAGTTGGAACCCTTCTGTGAATTTAGCATTTTAATTTCCTTGATTTCTATATGCTCAATGGTAGTAATTTGCTCTCAGAAAATATCTTATATTGTTTTTATGATATGTTTAATTGCTTTATATTAAGTGTGATCAAAGATTTCTTCCACCAAATCAATAGCCAAATTTAATCCGTTCTTATATAGTTGGGGTTCCTCTAACCTTGTTGCCTCTGTCATACTTGTGGCTCTTTAATGGAAGGAATGACATATTCCTTATTTCATAAGCTACCAAGTAGAATTCATCCTTACAGATGTTAGATGATTTAGAAGATAATCAATAGAAATTCTAAGCTTAAGCAGAGAAAAATTTCCTTAGTTAGTTTGCACCCATCCATGATCAATTCCCAAACATTCAGCCAAAAGCAGTTAAGCTTGTTTTATTTTTTCCTACACGGTCTCTGTAACGTAACATTCTTCGAGTGAATTCCTGCCCGTAAAAAGAAGAAAAGTTAACAGCTTCTTACAAGATCCTATAAATGTTTGTTTGTTTGATCATAGTAAGAAACAGCATAATATTTATTAACATTTTATTTTGTGCTTACAGCTTTTGTTTGTCATCACAACAGTTTTCTAATTTATGGATCGTTAGAACAGCCTACGATAAACAATTGGTCTCGTATCACTCATGTGTCAGTATTCTTTGCCCTGTTCATTAGTATGACATTTGCTGTGTGTGGATACGTAACGTTCACAGGTTATACACAAGGTAAGGAAGCAATTTAGCTTAAGGAAAAGTTCCTGAGGTAGAATTTCTGTCAGAATTTCCTGATCTATTTGAAAATGTTCACCAGAATATGGTAAAAAACCTTGGACTAAGAATGTAAAAGGTTATTTACTTCATTTTTCTTGGGTTTCTACCATATTCCAACTAGAGTTGCTGAAGGAGATCTGCAGAAATTACTGATGCAAAAGTTTAAAATGATTTTTTTTTCATTTATGAGTTCGGTTTACTGTTCAGAAATTGATCATTTTTCAGCATTCCAGCAACTAAATCAACATTTATTTCACTTACCTGTATATACAAATGGAGAAAATAAAAACTGACGGATTGATAATTTGAAGAGAACAGAGTAAATGAAAGGAATGAGTCAAATGGCTGTGCTGCAGGGTTAAAGAAAGAGGAAGAACTTTCTTTTGAACTTTGGCAACTATTCTTGGCCCTTAATTACTTATTTTGGATCACATTTTTGAACTCTGTGTGACCAAGACTTCTGATCAAGCCACAGTTAAAGTATTCAGATGAACTTTCGTCAATCTATGTCCTTGGTATTGTCACAGTTAATATATTTGGTTGAATTTTTCTCAATTTTGCCTATTCTTTGCACACAAAATTGAGGAAGAATGATGACAGATATCAAAGGCTGAAAAAAGGCAAGTCATATTGTAAACTTTTTTGTAGGAATGTGGAATACCGAAGTGTGGGTGATGTTGACATTGCACAAGAAAATATGTTCTGGCACTATTAGGTGAATGCATGTAGCTCCAAGCATTTCATTGTAAGAAGATTAGAGATGCACATCATTAACAGAACAAGAAAGACAGAAGTTCAGGCAAGGCGAAAAGTTTATTTTGTTTGACTGAGACAGAGAAGGTGATCTAATGGAGGTTGCCAGAACTATGAAATTATATGAGAAGATAGATAATAACTTTCACAAGTCAGTGACAGTAATAAGCTCAGAGTAGTTGGAAGGAATTAGTTATTAGTTTTTTTTTATTGTTCCAGTAGTTGTCTTTAAGTTAAATGAGCATTGAAAATGCCTCTCTTTAAGAGCTCACTCATTTGGAAATAATGAGCTGTTGCAGCCTTCATGCATTTGGAGTAGCTAAAAAGGCAACCATCCTCAAAAGACATTTTCGCAAGCAATCACAAAGATCTTTTCAGTGGAAGTTCCGAAAGGACATTTTGCTGATACCATCATTGAGGTCACTTTGCAGCAGGTTAACACAGGAAGGAATGGATAGAGGGCCATAATGAATCATGTGGGATCAGTGGAGAGAGATGGCCAGATTGTGACCTCATACAGAACATCAGTCAGAAAAGAGGAGTCAGAGCAGGTTTACAGATGTATTCCATAATAAAAATGTCCGTCATTGACAGTGATTACCTCATCACATCCATTAAAAAGGTTTAGCATCATTTCCCCAGATGTAGCAAAGTGGTCTTCATCCTCCCGGTCATCTGTTGGAAGTGTTATTTCACTTAAAGCCTTACATACAATATACTGTACTAAAAGACTTCAGATCTTTTGGTGCAACATGCAACTGTTAACCCCCCAATTATGAGTTGCAAATAGGTTCTTGTGTTTTGATGCATCTCATGTTATCCAAAGGAAATGTCAACTTTTGCATTTAAACTAAGGCATAACTTTGAACTTTGATGATGGACCCTCAAACCTTAACACTTAATGCCTTTGAGAAAAACCTTACAAGATTCAAGTGAAAGGCTATCAAAGGTGTTAAGAGAGTAGCTTCAGAGTTGAACAAGGCTTTAAAATTTAGAATCCCCAAAAGATCTAGCAAGCTGGTAGTTGTCTCCTAGGAGACTGCATACGACTATCACCATCTGACATGATATGTTGAATCTTCTGAGACACTCCTGTTCAGACATGTAAAGGAAACTCAACCTCTGCCTGCAGACATGACTTTAAGAGTTTTGCTCCCTGTGAATCCTCTGTTGCTCCCCCCTATGCTGCTTTTCGTTGCGCCACCCTCTGCCTTGCGGATCCAGAGGTCAGTGAACAGGTACTATTACTGGACATCTTAAGACATGATCTGAGAACTAATCAAAGGTGGGATAAGGAACACCCATCCTAGTATGATCATGCATAAAGTAATTCCCAAAGCATATGGCATAAATTCAAAAGTATAGAAAGTAGCCTTTGTGGATGAAAACTTTCCAAAGAACACATAAGAAAGCAGCAGTGAGTATTATGTAATTATTTTTCCCCGAGGTAGGTTCAGTCCTCTTAGTCACTATTGTGTGCTCATTTTTTTTCATGTCAAATTTAATGAAGCCATATGTCTATGTTAAAGTGAAAAGTGTGAGCTCATCATCCTCATTGTCATTTCCCTTGCGTTTTTAAAAATGGCCATTTCTTATGTGTTTAGGAGCATCTCTTGTGCATTCTAACATGGCTGTGGAGCATGATCACAGACCTGTTTGGCTTTCCACCCTGCAGGCAAGGATAAGTTCACTGATTTCGTTGGGACTGCCAGGCATTTTTAGATTCCCTACCTGTAATCTTTCACGTTCAGAAGAAACAACACTATTTGAGATTTCTGTCCGGGTAATTCTTTATAGAAAGTGCTGATATTGTTCCAAATAACATATGATAATTGGCAACCCACCTCTCCAAGGGGACAGCCTCATTCAGCCTAAAACGCTGGAGTTGAATCCAAAAGTTGGCAGGGTGGAGCCGGCCTCCTGATGCATTGATACTTTTCCCAGTTTTATCCAAAATGTTTCTCTGTTCCAAAGCAATAAAATTTTATAGCATTGTGAATCTGTAAGTCGTCAGAGAAATGGCTGACTTGATCTGGAATTGTAAAAGAATGCAAAACGTTGCATAATCTTACACAAAAAAAATTGAAAGATAGAAAATAGGGGTTGGAGTACGTCTTTCAGCCCTTCAGGCAAGATCTACCATTCGTTATGATCATGGCAAAACATCCAATTCTATGGCCTTTTCCTGCTTTCCCCCCATCTACTTTGATCCCTTTACCCTAAGTGCTATATCCAACTACTTCTTGAAATCATACAATCTTTTGGCTATGACTGCTTTCTGTGGAAAATTCCACAGGTTCACCATTCTCTGGGTTTAAAAAAAAAATCCTCCTCATCTCAGTCCTGAATAATTTACCTGTCTCTTTAGACTGTGGCCCCTGGTTCTTGAGTCTGCCACCATTGCAAACAGCCTTGCTGCATCTACCCTGTCTCATCCAGTTAGAATTTATTAGGTGTCTGTGAGATCCTCTCTCATTCTTCTGAATTCCAGTGAATATAATCCTGACTAATTCAACCTCTCCTCATATGTCAGTTCCGTAATTCCAGGAATCAATCTGGTAAACCTTCCTTATACTCCCACAACAGCTGTAAAATCTTTATTCATATAAGGAGTCCAAAACTGCACACAATACTCCAGGTGTGGTCTCACCAATACTCTGCACGTTTGCAGCAAGACATCCCTGTTTCTGTACTTGAATCCTCTCGCTATGAAGGCAAACATACCACTTGCCTTCTTCGCTGCCTGTTGCACCTGCACACTTACTTTCAGTGACTGGTGCATGAGGATACTCAAATCTCTTTGCACCTTCCACTTTTCCAATCAACTGCCATTTTGATAATAATCTGCCTGTCTGGTTTTGCTACCAAAGTGGATAACCTCACATTATCCACATCATATTGCATCAGCCATGTATTTGGCAACTTATTTAACTTGTCCAAATCACACTGAAGCTTTACTGCATCCTCCCATCCAGCTTTGTGTCATCTGCAAGCATGGAGCTATGACATGTAGTTTACTCATCAATATCATTAATGTACATTGTGAATACCTGGGATCCACGTACTGACCCCTGCCATACCTCGCAGGTTAGTACCTGCCACTCGGAAAAAGATCTGTTCATTCCGACTCTTTCTTTTCTGTCGACCAGTTTTCTATCGATCTCACTGCACTTTAATTTTACACACTAAACTCTTGTGTGGGACTTTGTTGAAAGCCTTCTGCAAGTCAAAATAAACCGTATCCACTGGCTCCCCCTGACAACTCCTACTAGTTAAAGTTTTGAAGAATTCATTGGATTTATCAAGCTTGATTTCCCTTTCGTAAATCCATGCTGCTTCTATCCAATCCTGTTACTATTTTCAAAGTATGAGATAACAAGGTGTAGAGCTGGATGAACACAGCAGGCCAAGCAGCATGAGAGGAGCAGGAAAGCTGACGTTTCAGGCCTAGACCCTCCATTTCTGAAGAAGGGTCTAGGCCCGAAACATCAGCCTTCCTGCTCCTCTGATGCTGCTTGGCCTGCTGTGTTCATCCAGTTCTACACCTTGTTATCTCAGATTCTCCAGCATCTGCAGTTCCTACTATCTCTGAAACTATTTTCAAAGTGCTGTGCTATCAAATCTTTTATAATGGACTCTAGTTTCTTCTCCACTACCAATATCAGGCTAATTAATTTATAATTCCCTGTTTTCTTTCCACCTCTTTTTTTTTTTTTGAAACAGCAGGATTACATTAGCTATCTTCCAATCCATAGGAAGCAGGGGTCACAGTCTAAAGACAGGGGCTAGGCCATTTAGGACTGAGATGAGGAGAATTTTTTTTTCACCCAGAGAGTGGTGATTCCATCACAGTGTAATTCTCTACCACAGAGAGCATTTGAGACTGACAAATTGAATGTTTTCAAGAAGGAGTTAGATATAGTTCCTGGGATAAAGGCAATCAAAGGTACAGGGAGAAAGCAGGAATATCCTCTTGAGTTAGACAATCAGCTGTGAACAAGTTGAATGGTGGAACAGGCTTGAAGGCTGAATGGCCTACTCCTGCTTTCTATGTTTCACAGTATTGTTACCGATTTAGTTTTCCCAATATGTAGTTTAAAGTCACCCATTATTAAAGCTGTACATCAAATGTAGCTGTTTACATGTGCTGTTTGAATGGTTGTCATTGCCTTTCCACCTCACATATCTTAGTTCTCATTAAAACAAATGAAATTTTGAAATTAATAACTTCACAGTGGAAGCATTTATTTTTAAAGGGGAAATGTAGATGCTGTTAATGTGTTTATTGAAAATTTAAATTAACCCAGAATTTTTTCAATTTTTTTTGCTAGGAGACCTATTTGAAAATTATTGCAAAAATGATGATTGGGTTACTGCTGGAAGGTTTCTGTTTGCAATAACCATTATTTTGACATTCCCAATTGAATGCTTTGTTACACGTGAGGTAAGTTATCTATCAGTAAAAATAATTGTAAAACTATTTTGGGCACGTTTCTAATTTTACTATGCACCTTCTATTGATAGACATTTCCAAATTAACTTTGTAATATACAATGCTTTATTTTCCTTTACGCCATAATAATGTGAAACAGATTTTGATTTGCAGACATAGGGTGGAAAATAGGAGACACGTGGTATGTCCCTCTGCAATATAATTATACTTTTACTCAGTGTAGAACTGTACCTAATTCTCTTTCTACTGTCCTCAAAATATTTAGTTTTATTCATGCCATTTTATACATTTTTAGCGAATTTATACTTTTGCAAGACTATAACAAATCTAGAATTCAATTGCCATTAACTGCTTGAATTGCAAGACCACATACTTCCATTACCATAACATCATTTGACTCCACCCATACGTTTGTTCATTTACTGTCAAAACCCTCAAATATGTTTTTTTGTATTTTGACTTGACTGTTCTTGATCTAAATGTTCCATTCACTGTTCACTGACTTGCTTGATGACATACATTGGCTGTTTTTATTTTAAAATCAAGATTGAACTGAGTGACTTACTAAGCCATTTCAGAGGTAATTAAGAGTTAACCACATTGCAGTGGGTCTGGAGTCACGCATAGGCCAGACCAAGTGAGGATGGCAGATTTTGTTCCCTAAAGGACATTAGTTAACCAGATGAATCTTTACAACAATCAATAACAATTACCTGCTTACCATTAGACAAGTGCACAGACACTGCGTCTGTGTGCTCTCCTCTCTCACTGCACCTGATGAAGGGCCTGTGCTGTGAAAGCTTGTGTGATTTCAAATAAATATGTCGGACTATAACCTGGTGTCGAGTGACTTCTGACTTTGTCCCTTTAATAACCCTGCTCACTGATGTTCTGTTTGAGTTACACCATAGCCATGAGACTCCAAACCTAATTACAACCTCATGAAATTTGGACAAATAAAGCTAAACTCAAAAGGAAAGATGATAGATGACAGAAAGAAAGATGATAATTGATATCAGTTGCAATTAATCGAGCATGACATGAAGGAGCTTTAATCAGCAATCAGGAGGAAAACTCTGCATTGATTGGAATCACACTCAGCGGGGGAGGCGATGGCCTAGCGGTATTATCGCTAGACTATTAATCCAGAGGCCCAGTTAGTGGTCTGGGGACCCAGGTTCGAATCCCGCCACGGCAGGTGGTGGAATTTGGATTCAATAAAAATATCTCAAATTAAGAATCTAATGATGACCGTGAATCCATTGTCCATTGTCAGGAAAAACCCATCTGGTTCACTAATGTTCTTTAGGGAAGGAAACTGTCATCCTTACCTGGTCTGGCCTACATGTGACTCCAGATCCACTGCAATGTGGTTGACTCTTAACTGCCCTCTGGGCAATTAGGTATGGACAATAAATGCTGCCTAGCCAGCAATGTCCTCATCCTGTGAATGAATAAAGAAAAAAAAACTGAGGAAATTGGTTGTGGTTACTGGAGGCCAACCTCTCAGTCATAGAATATTGCTGCAGGATTTCTTCAGGGTAGTCTCCTAGGTCCAACCATCTACAGCTGCTTCATAAACAAAAAATCAGAAATTGAGTTGTTTGTAAATTTTGCATACAGCAATTTTACAGAAACAAGCCATCTGTACTGGCAAGTAGCTAGTCCTGAACAGCATTCAAACTTGGGCTGACATATGAAAAGCAATATTTGGCTCACACTAGTGCCAATCAACAGCAATTTCTAATAAGAGAGAGTTCCCCTTTCTTCTTTAACAGCATAACCATTGCTCACTCCTCCACCATCAACTTCATAGGGGTTCTTATTGACAAGAACATTAACTAAACTAGCTATACAAATGCTGCGATACTACTGAATAAGCAGGGAAACTCATCTGCTGACTCTCCAAAGCCTGTCCACCATCCACATGGCACAAGTCAGGAATTGATGGAATACTTTCCACTTGTCTGGATGAGCGCAGCTTCAAAAACTTTCAAGAAGCTCAACATCAGTCAAGAACAAACAGCCTGCATTGTCGACACTTCATACACTGTGGTAAACATTCACTCCCTCTACCATCTGTGTACCATCTGCAAGATGCACTGCAAGAACTCGCCAAAGCTTGTTCAACAGCACTTTATAATCCCGGGACTTCTCCTATCCAAAGAATGCGGTGACATGGGAACATTACCATCTGTAAGTTCCTGTCCAAGCTACATACCTTCTTGACTTAGAACTGTATCACTGTTCCTTTACTGTTATTGGCTCAAAATTCTGCAACTCCCTCCCTAAAATCAATATGGGTGTATCTGCACCATGTGGAACATCAAGTTCAACAAGGCAGCTTATCAGCATCTTCTGGAGCAGATGGACAATAAATCCAGGCCTTGTCAATGATCACATTTTATAAATAAATCATAAGAAAAGCTCCCAATGTGGCTCACTTTATGAAAATAATGAGATTATTTTATTGTATTGTGTAAGCAGTCTCAATACTTTCATTCTTTGTTTAGATGTATGTAATGTTCATTATTGCAACAGACCAAACTCAAGAATAAATGCACAACATTTAAGTGATGAGTAAGACAAGATTTGCACATTACATGGGATGTAGCAACAGAGAAATTCTAGACTCACCCTTCATATACATTTCCTGTAGACATTTCTACTCCATATGCAGTTCCTGGTAATAATTGATTCACAATTATCTAATTAGCTGTTTCGGTACAATAAACACACAATCACTACAACAAAAAGTTGTCATAAGTCTTAAATGCTTACAGCATACAGACAATAAATGTGTACCACTCTGCTTTTATTTTATACGATGACTTTTGTGGCAGTTTAACTGATTGAATTTACTTCTGCTTTTTTAGTTGTCTTTGTGGACACAGTTGTAAGCCTTCATTGGTGTTCTTCCTAATTTTCACCAGCGGTTACCTCAGGTACACAAGGCATCTGTCCAAAGTTTTAGCAACTGTATGTAAATAAGGCAGTTGCGGTAGTTTCACACGTCATTAGTTCCCTTCTTTCACAGTTTAACCATTTAATTGAGGTTTGGGGATACAAAACATCTGTTTAAAAGGGATTTGAAAGAAACTGAAATTGAATTCTTACTTCATATCATAGGTAAAAGCAGAAGACGTTGTGCCCTGACTGGAATTTAACACAAAGATTTGCACAGATTCTATAGTTCACTATACAAGCAAACTTCTATTACCACAATTTCACAATCAGACAGTGCATATATAATGAAGATACAGATATTCAGTGCCTTTTTATTTGAATTATTTTGTGCTTGTAAAGTATATTTGTCATTCTTCTGACCTGCAGATCTCAAGGTAGGGTTATACATCAGATAATAAGTATCCACATTCAAAGTACTTAAACGTAATGCTTTTAACTTTGTATAATATAAAACTTTATGATTGAAAATGATAAGTTCAGAATGATTTGCATAGGTGAAGCTTCATTAAAGCTTCACTACAAGTTGCAGTGGAACTTTAACCTTATTAATCATTGAAGTGTTTTGGAAGAATCTGAAATAATAACAATTAAGATTAATCAGATATTTTAGCTGCCGAAGAATCAGGTGGTTAAGTTTTAAATATTTTTTCTTGTTAGTTTGATGTAGCATGATGTTTGTCTGCCTGGAAATACATTTTCAAAACACATTATTGCAAGAATGGGAACAAAAATGCTTTTATTTGTTTAGCAAGGGATCATTGAATTTTCTTTCATCTACAGGTTATTGGAAACTTATTTTTTGGAGGAACACTGTCAACAATTTTTCATTTCTTTGTAACCATCTGCATTGTTGCTGCAGCCACAGCTATTTCATTAGCCTATGATTGCCTTGGAATAGTTTTGGAATTAAATGTGAGTAAGAGTATTCTTGTAATAAGAGAGCATTTACTTTTTGCCATCCATTCTCTGGATATGGATGTCACTATCAAGATTGGTATTTATTTCACATACCTGTGAAAACTTTGTTTGTGCATTGTTTAAGTTTATGTGCTAAGGGTCCACTTATAATTTTGTTTAGATAAGACTTAATGGTTTGATACAACTGAATTATTTGCTCGGGCAAATTCAGAAGACAGTTAAGAGTCAACTAAATTCAGGTAGGACTGCAGTTGCACATAAGTGAGACTATGAAAGAATGGGAGGTTTAAATTAGGTTTTTCTGAGAATCCAGCAGCTTCATGGTTGTTGTTACGGAACTCAGATTTTTATTGAACTGAATACAATTTGAACTAATTTTTTTGAAATTTTGCTTTTTTTTTGTGGAGTTGAACTGAACAATGTCTTTGTTTGCCACTTTAGTTCTTTGTCTGGACTTTGTCCATTTCTGTCTCGTACCTGGAGGTTTCCTTCTCAGAAGGGTTCCTCAGTTATAGGGACTCATTGTCTTTTCTTATTCAGCTGATCAGCTGTGCCAGTAGCCCATACAATCTAATGTCACACATAATCCCTTTCTTGTGCACTCCATGTCTACAAATTCCAAATTTTATTGTTCATTTCTATCCTTGCTCATGTCTGCTTCATCTCTCCCAGCATTTTCCTTCTCCAAACCTGAAATTCACTCACTCAATATGGCTAGTCAGCCAATGGTTTCCAGCTGCCATTCCGAACGGGCTTTTGTTTCTGCTTCCAGCCGTCCATCCTTTACTTATGGGCTCCTCTCACCCACTCTTTTGGCCTCTCAACTGTCACACCATATCAACACTAGACCTCTTAATAGTTGGTAGAAGTCCAAGTTTATGCAGATTGTAGATTTCCTATCACTAGCATCGGTTCAACCACTTCATTTACACCCATCTTTCCTGCAACTCTGTTTGAATCCTTTGATCAGGATTCATCCCTACCTGTGCAATGAAACAGCTCTCATCAAACTACATCCTATATAATTATGACAATGGTAAACTTACCCCAACTCATCCTTCTCAACTTCCCTGCAGCCTTTGAAAAGTTTGATCACATTATCCTCCTCCAAGCCGCTCCTCCAGTATCCAGGTGGCTGGGAATGACAGCATCAGATTCCATTCTTATTTATTCAGTGATAGGCTGAGAATCTCCTGCAATGACTTCTCATCTTCAACACAATTAACTTTAAACCCCCAAGGATCTCCTTTGATCCTTTCTTGTTTCTCATCTAAATACTGTCCCTTGGCAATGGCATCTGAAATCTCATTAGTTTTCATACCTAAACAGGTGTCAACCAACTCCTCCATGACTATGATTTGATGTAATGCTTGACCAACAATCAGTGGGTGAGCAGTATTTTCCGCCAATTAAGTACTAGGATGACTGAAACCAATGCCTATCATCTTAGAAATAACACCTCTGCTCCTCTTTCACAGTTACACTTGTGCTCCAGTATCCTGGAGAGGGAGCATGTGGTTCTCAGTGGTATGATGCAGACCTTTGTGGAATGGTCGGCATCACAGGGGCTGTGGTGCATCACCACCCCAGATGATGTTATTTAATTTAAGAAGTTTCTGTTTAGGTTAAGTAAGTTTCCGTTCAACTGTTAATTTGTTATTTGATACAGTACCCTAGCAGGTGCTGTTAACTACATTTTTATTTTCTGTTTAAAAGAGCGAAGGAAACTTTAGTTTCAGTTTAAAAGCATACAGAGAGGTTGACTTTCAGTTTAAAACAGTAGAGAAAGGTTTACTCTCTATCTAATCCTATCCTGTACCTATCTTGGGAGTGCTTAATGGGGACAGTGCAGCGGAAGCTTCACTCCGTATCTAACACTGTGTTGTCCCTATCCTGTAAGTGTTTGATAGGGTCAGTGTCAAGAAAGCTTTACCTTCAGTTTAAAAGAGTAGAAGGCAGCTTTACACTGTATCTAACCCCATGCTGTTCCTGTCCTGGAGTGGGGGGGATGGAGGGGTTGTTTGATAGGGACAGTACAGAGGAAGCTTTACACTATTTTTAACCCTGTGCTGTCCCTGTTCTGGGGACAGTGTTGGGAAGCTTTATTTTCAGTTTAAAAGAGTAGAAATAACACCTTGTGGTCAGTTTGCATTTTTCCTTTCTAACCTGCAGCGCAACTTTTAATGATTCACATACATGTATGCCAAGAGCTTTTTATTCTCTATCCAAAATAGACTTGAGTCTCCCAAGAAATAAGTGACTTCCCCATTCTTCCAGCAAGATAGACTACCTCACATTTCTGTGTTGAACTTAATATGACAATTCTGCAAGTTTATTAATGTCCTCCTGAAATTTGTTGCAGTCATTTCCAGTATTGACTCTCCTTCCACACTCACCAATTTGGTTTCATCTGCAAATTTAGATTTTGTGTTTGTTGATTGTAAATAGTAAAGAATGCCAATATGCACCTCATGCCCATAGGTCTCTTGGCTTTTGTGCTATCCCAGATAACAATACATGGAGGCAAGGAGGTAGCAATTTATCTTCAACAAAATGGTCAATGTTGAATGGACTGCTGTTTTGCATTCCACCATCTGATTTCAATGGAAAACAAATTCAGATGGAGTGCAAAATGACCTATCATTTTACAATTGACCACTTTGCACTACAATCCCAAAATGATTCTAAATCTCCAAGAATATTAATTGTTGGGTAATAGGGAGTGATAATGAAAAAAGGAATGTAAATAACAATAGTGGAATCACATATTTACTCCACAATGTTGCAGGCACTTTGACCAAACAACTAAACAACTTAGTAATTGTCCTTCACTGTTACTTTATTTTCACAGGGTGTGATTGCTGCTACTCCACTGGTTTTCATCATTCCAACAGCATGCTATCTAAAACTCTCTGAAGAGTCGTGGTATAATTGGGATAGTGTTCAGTCTTGTATTATCCTGATTACTGGTATATTAGTGATGATTGTAGGGTTTGTAATGGCTGTCATGTTTCCAAAAGAATGCAGTCATGGAAAGGAGATGTTTTACTGCATGCCTTCAAATTCATCTCTTTACAATATTACATTCCCTATCAATGAAACGGTCAATCAATCTCCAGTGTTCATTACCAACATATTATAAAATATGAGAATCTGTGCAGTGGTGCTGATCAATAGTTTGTTGATTTCTGTTGCAATATAACAAATGTGCTGTTATTTTTCGAGTAAATGTAAAATTATGTCCTCTACTTTATGCCAAAGTTTGCAACCTGTTTATTTATTGTTGAATGCTTTTGTTTATTGTCAATATTTGAAACAAGTAGACACTAGCTTCCCCTTTTGTAAGTGAAGCAAATTGAATCAGAGGACATTGATTAATCAGTAAATGTTTGATCTACCAATGAATGATAAAGCTTTGACACATCAATAAATAAGAAGTGTATTTCACTATTAATATTGACTACATCAGTGACTCCGTAGACTTGCTTAATTGAGTGATACATAACAGGAATGGAGATGCCAGTGATGGACTGGGGTGGACAAAGTCAAAAGTCACACGACACCACATTATAGTCCAAAAGGTTTATTTAGAATCTTAAGCTTTCGGAGCACAGATTCCTTTGTCAGGTGCAGTGAGAGCAGGGCACACAGACACAGAGTTTATAGGCAGAGAGATCAAGGGCAGAGAGATCAAAAGATAATACAACTGGTGTGAGTGGAGGGTCAGCTAATAAGTCTCTGCAGGTGAGCAAGAGTGTTAGTCAGTGTGTAAAGTGTTTATAAGGTCAATGTCAGTGTGTGTTGTCATGACAATCAGGCAGAGCCATAGGAATACACACACACTCACTCTCTCTCTTTCTGTCCCTCCCCCACACTCTCTCACACACACTCACTCTTCCCCCCCGCCAACTCACACACACACACACACACACTCCCTCTCCCCCCCAACTCTCTCTCTCTCTCACACACACACACAGACATTCTCTCTTTCTCCCTCCCCACATTCACTCTCACACACACTTTCTCTCCCTCCCATTCTCTCACACACACACACACACATTCTCTTTCCGTCCCTCCCCACACTCACACTCACACACACGTTCTCTCTCTCTCTCCCCCTCCCCACACTCACTGTCACACACACTTTCTCTCTCTCCCTCCCATTCTCTCTCACACACACACAGACACAGACACACACTTTCTCTCTCTCCCCCAGCCCCACTCTCACACATACACACACTTTCTCTCACTCCCCTCCACTCAGACACACACACACATTCACTCTCCCCCCTCACTCTCTCTCATACACACTCACACTCTCTCTCTCCACCCCACACACACACACAGACAGACACACACACGCATATATCTATGTGGTGAATCAGTTCATCCAAGATGTTTGTTTATTTACAGATACGTTCTATTTTAAAAAAAAAACACTTTGTAGTCACAGTGGGTCAGTGTGGCATCTTATAAATTCCAGCTTTCACAATAAAATCAGCCTGATTCCAGGTTAAAACTCAAACAGATTCTGAACAAGGCCTCCCACCTACAATTCAATGTCTGACCTGAGCTATCACCTTTCGTATATTGCTGTGGCTGTGCCTGATTGTCATGACAACACAGACTGACATTGACCTTATAAACACTTTACACAGAGTCTAACATCCTTGGTCACTTGCAGAGACTTCTTACCTGACCCTCCACTCAAACCAGTTATATGATCTTTTGATCTCTCTGCCCATGATCTCTCTGCCTATAAACTCTGTGTCTGTGTGCCTGCTCTTTCACTGCACCTGATGAAGGGGCTGTGCTCTGAAAGCTTGTGAGATTCTAAATAAACCTATTAGACTATAACCTAGTGTCGTGTGACTCATAGTAGAAAGGTTCAATATTTGATCTCTGACCCTGATCTCAGCTTAGGCAGCAGCAGAGTGGTTTCAATGAAATTTAGTGTCCCAGCAGTAAGGAGACGACCATCAAACATGCTATCCTGTAACTCCTAAAGTTTTGAATTTTTGCCATGCTGGTAATACAGTATTTTCAAACAAGTCAGCACGAACTTAAAAAAACGGTATCATATGAACTCCCCCATGTGTATTTTGATGTAATGTGTTGAATAATTCAATGAATTTCTGTGAAACTCTTTCTGGTAAAGGGATAAAAATCATGATTTTACCATGATCAATATTTTCTTGCTTCATATTACTCCGTTTCATTGCTACACTTCAATGTTTACAAACTGACAGAATTAATAACTTTTTCAAAGGTGCAGTGTTGCACGATCATCTCTTGCTTTTATTTACTTCTGTCCATCACAATCATTTCTTTCTGCTTTTTGCTCCCCTTTGCAATTTTATTACGTCTGTATTAACTTGAAATTTAGGATTATCGCAAGCATTTTTTATTTCTCAATGAAAGGTAATTGATCAAGGAATTGAATGTTAACTCTGCTCAGATGCTGCCTGATTTGTTGAGTATTTCCAGCATTCTAATTATGTTTTGCATATTAGTCATGGGGGCAACTGTGGTTTCATGAAAAAGGCAGCTGACTAATCTTTGAAAGGAGGGTTTAAGACATTAGGCTTCCAAATTATATATAAACCTAAAATTTGTTTTACAAGTTCACCTGCAATACTTAGAAAGAGCCTCACAAATCTAGTAGAGGACTAAGAAGTGGCTGTTTAGTTTAAAACATGGTATGCTTTGTTCTTACTTTACACAAAACCATGTGCAATCCATAATAATTTCTATCCCATCATTTGCCTTAGGCTCCACTGCATAATTGCTTATGACATTTACCAGGCAGAATGTACTTATGACCATTACTTGTCTGAATTGCAATTTTAATGAGTATTGGAAAATAGTAAAATGCAAATTTTAAGCAAAATTCTTAGGTATTGTAAATCAAAAAAAAAGTTAAAGCTGACATTTTAACAAGTACAAAAGTATATTATAATCTATCAGGCCAATATGATGTCATTTTACACTTTAATTTTGCAAATGTCCTTTCCAAAGAAAGGTCATTGTGAAAGGTTGATTATGCCAAAAGATTTCTTAAGAATTCCCCAAAGATGCTGGCAATATGGTTGATATTTAATGTATTGACTGTCAAAATCCATACTGATAGAGTGGACTATGGACTTGTGCTTAAAATGAAAGCTTTTAAGATAAATGCAGCATGTCCAAACACACACCAATCCTGCTTCAATGGATCTCATCATCAGAAAGAATCTAACATGTCATGAATGCTAGCATGTAAGTATAGGGCTTGGAAATCCCCTCAGGAATAGGGAATGAACAATATTGGTGCGTTCAGGCTGAAAGATTTGCCAGCCTTCTTTGTAGGTGCTGGTTGAGTGCCCCAGCTATTCCTGCTCCACAGCCTGTTCTCGAGCTGATCCTTCTGTCCTGAATCGATCAAACAGGAAAGCCACAGATACTTTGCTACTCAGGCTTGCACTAAATTTATATCACCATGATCCAACAAACAAAAATACCCCACTGTCTTTTGGCAGGTGTCCTAGACATTTGCTAGTGAGACATCAAACTGACAAAATCTTTACTCAAGCTCAGAATGTCAAAAATGCTCGGGAACAATTATGTTGTTTAAATCAAGTAACACAACCAAGTAAAAAGTAAAATAGAGACATGTTCTTGAGAAATAATGGGACGGTGAAGAGCACGGATATAGTACAGACATGGAGAGAGTGGCAGGAAACTTGCAAAACAAGAAGAGTGAATTATCACAATTGAGGAGTGGGAGGGAACTAAAATCAACCAAAATTTCGAGGTAAGCATTTAAAGAACTGAATAAATAAGTTGGACCTAAAAGTGCAAGATTTTAGTTTTTCATTTTTTTAAGTCTTAAGTTTTATTTCTACTGTATTTCATTTGTAAGTTCCTAAATGACGTGACAAAACATCTCAATCTTGCTGAATATACATTTTATGCAATGTGGGAACAGGGTGTGGTCTCATGTACTGGGAAAAACATGTGCAGGAAGTGTCATCATCTACAGGGGTTCAACTCTGGGTTTTACAGTTCTAGCAATGACTGACAACTTTGTCGTACATGCATAATGCTGACAGCTACATGGATTGTATGGTTTTGGAGGTGGTGACACTGCAGCTTTTGATAATTCAGGCAAAGTGGAAATTAATGACCTTCAGTCAAGCAAGAGCCAAAAAGGACCAAGCAGGTAGAGACTCGGGGTTCTCTAGTGCACTCCATTCTCCAACCAGTCTGAAAACTGATGAGGACATTGATTCTTCTGGGAAGCACAACTGTATTCATGTCCACAGCACCACATACATCCCAACTATGCAGCAAGGGAGCAGGAAGTTTGAGAATACAATAATGATATAGGAATCAATAGTTAGGGAAACCGACAGGCATTTCTGCAGGCTCAGGTATGATTCCTACCTGGTAATATTGTCTCTTTTGCAACTGTGTCCAGGATATCATGGACTAGCTGTTGAAGGGAGAAGGTAAACGACCAAAGATCATGATCCAGAATTAGAAAAGTCCTGCAATCAGTTTTAGCGAGTTAGAGAAAAATAACTAAGCAGGAATTCAAAACTAGTAATAAGCTGATTGTACCAGAGATAGTAGGAACTGCAGATGCTGGAGAATCTGAGATAACAAGGTGTAGAGCTGGATGAACACAGCAGGCCAAGCAGCATCATAGGAGCAGGAAGGCTTGTAGAGCTGGATGAACACAGCAGGCCAAGCAGCATCATAGGAGCTGATTGTACTTACTTGGCATTAGAATTGAAATAGGAGGATACAGAAGATGAATGATGGTTGAAGAGGTGATGCAGGAGGGAGTACTTTAAATCTTGAAGCAATGGGACTAGTTTAGTAGTAGGTAGGACCTACATAAGCAATTTGTACTTCACAGAGTTGGTGTGTGTCGTCACTGATGTTGTAGAAGAGGGTTTAAACTAATTTAGTAGGGGTATGTTCATCAGAATGTAGCATTAGAAAGGCAAAGCAAAATGCACAGATAAAATTAGAGTAAGAAATAGTACAGTGTTTTGGTGTCAGACTAAGGGACAATACTGGAACCTTTAGGATAAACTTTGAGAACAAATTGGTAAATCGCTACCACTTAGTATGTATTGTTCCACCAGAAGGGATGACCTACCAGAGTCATTGTTATAAGTTGGGAAGGAGTTGCGTTGGGAGTCCTCAATACTGACTGCGGACCTCATGAAATCTCATGGTATCAGGTTAAACATGGGCAAGGAAACCTTCTGCTGATTATCACCTACCATGCCCCTTCCTACTCAGCTGATGAATCTGTATTCCTCCACATTGAACACCAATCGAAAGCAGCACTGAGGATGACAAGGGCACAGATTGTAGTCCACCACCCAGACAACAATGTCCATCACCAAGGGTGGCTCAGTA